GATTAAATTTATGATGGATTTTTGAACCTCAGCGGCCCTCCTTACAAAATTAATATATAGTATAGATTTACTTTTCTAGAACGTAATCGCCATTTCAAAAAAAAAAAAAAAAACCGTAGTCAATGTTAGTTATACATGTATATAATATATGGTATAGATTTACTTTTCACTGGTCGTGCTACACTAAAACTAAATTGAATACTTTAATATTTAAACTTCCATAATGTACTGACATATTTTATTAATTTTGTATAAATTGAAGTACAATATATTGACTTTGACTATCCTATATATGAAGATTGTGGTGACAAATGTGGTATAGATGATGAGAGATTCCCAAAGAATGGACCACATACTGATCGTCTAAAGTTTCTATTGTATTGTATGAAAAGTAAGAAGAATTTGACAATAATATCTAAATTTTATCGTGCAATACACGGGATACATACTAGTATATATAAAGGATGCAAAAACAGTTACGGCATGTTTTGTCGTTTGTATTCTTCCCAATCATATTCACAACTTCGTATGCAGGATGCACCAAATTCAACTCGATACTTATTTCAGCGTTGACTTATTTCCATCTCCAGACCTGTAGCCAACTTGAAATCATGACAAGTGTTCTTCAGCCTTTCTCTGTTGTTTGGTGCTTACAAACTCTTCTGTTGCTTCTTGACTTTGTCCCATGAATGTTGCTCAGAGTCCTTCATTTTGTCATTTGAACATTTCACATTTGAGCATTGACTTTGACAATTTCTTCCATGCATGAATCAAAATGCCTTCGTATCAACGTAAAATGATTCCCCAATATATTAGGTGGATTCTTTGCAAATCAACAAGTAACAATAGGATCATCAGATTGTCAAATTCACTGTCCGGATGATAGTTACATCCTTAACAAAAGTCTCTACAATATAGTTAGAATAACTGAGATTATATTTCATACATGAATATTATGTACAATATACAGGGTATATATAGACAATTAGTAAACCCTATACAGAAGGCTATAACCGTAAATACATATATTACAATACACCCCCACAAACTGACGGTGGACAAGAGAGAAGCCGAAGTTTGTCCCTGAAACGAAGAAATAAATCCTTAGACAAGGGTTTGGTCAGAACGTCAGCAATCTGATCAGCAGCAGATACAGAGTGGACCGAAACAAACTTCCGCCTCACATGATCTCGAACAAAGTGAAAATCCACCTCAACATGTCGAGTACGGGCATGAAACACGGGATTAGCTGCAAGAAAAACGGCGCTACTGTTGTCACACCAAACAGAGTGAGGACGACATAAGGAAACACCCAACTCAGACAGATGACACACCCAATGCAGCTCAACACAGACATTAGCAATCGCACGAAACTCAGCCTCAGTATACGAGCGAGCCATAGTGGGCTGCTTCCGAGATGCCCAGGCAATAAGATTAGGGCCCACATAAAGAAGAAATCCAGTCGTAGAACGACGATCATCTGGGCAACCAGCCCAGTCAGCATCATTGAATACAGTAAGAGTATCCAAATCAGTGGGATGCAGAACCAAACAATAATCTACAGTGCCACGAAGACAGTGAAGAACCCGTTTGAGAGCCTGAAAATGAGAAGTGCGGGGCTGATGCATGAACTGACAAAGCTTATTAACTGCAAAACATATATCTGGCCGGCTGAGAGTGGTATACTGTAGACTACCACAAAGCCGGCAATAGGTAGTCGCATCATCAGGAGACAACAGAGTACCATCCAAATGGGACAACACAACACCAGTCTGCATAGGAGTGGAAATAGGCTTGCAAGTGTGCATATTGGCAAGGAGTAGTAAATCAGTAACATACTTACGCTGAGAGAGAAGTAAACCCCTGGTGGTGCGGTGAACCTCGACACCAAGAAAGTAACTCAAAGGACCCAAATCCCGAAGAGAAAATTCCTTAGCAAGACAAGAGATAAAATTCTGAACCAAGTCAGGAGTGCTGCCTATAATAATAATATCATCTACATATACCAGCAAAAAACACAATAGAGACCCACGGCGGTATACAAAGAGCGAAGGATCACAACGAGACTCCACAAATCCCAAGGTGACCAGAAACGCAGCCAACCAAGAATACCAAGCCCGAGGAGCTTGCTTAAGCCCGTATAGGGACTTATGCAGCTTACACACATAATGACGATGCACATGATCAACAAAACCCTGTTGCCGAACCATATACACAGTTTCACTCAAAACACCATTAAGAAAGGCTTTACTAACATCAAGCTAAGAAATCGACCATCCACGAGCCAAAGCAACTGTCAAAACTGAGCGAATAGTGACCGGCTTAACAACTGGACTAAAAGTGTCAGTGTAATCAACCCCAAAAGATTGGGTGAAGCCTCGAGCCACCAACTGAGCCTTATATCGCTCGATGGAACCATCAGCATTAGTCTTAATCTTATAATGCCATCGATTTCCGACAACATTGCTAGAGGAAGGAGGGTGAACTGAGGTCCATGTGTTATTCTTGAGAAGAGCAGAGATTTCATCCTTCATGGCATTTTGCCACTGAGGAATAGACTTGGCATGAGTGAAAGATGTAGGAGCAACTGGCAGAAGTGGTGAAACAGAGGCAAGATGAGCAGAGGGATCAAAGATCTTCTTGGGCTTGGGGTAAGGACAGAGTGCCATTGAATGAGGACGGGAAGGAGGAGGAGGAGGTGCTGGCGTAGGGGATTTGGACTCAGAGGATGGGAAAATGGATACTGAAGAATTAGGTAAAGATGCTGGCGAAGCGGAAGGACCAGGAGAACTAGGTAAAGAAGCCATGGGAATGGGGGAAATAGGAGAAGAAGCAACAGGTGCAGGATTCGACGCATGCACACCAGGAGAACTGGTTACACACAACTAAGGGGTGGCACTGAACTCCGGCTGCGAAGATGGAGAACTGGAGAGGGGACGTTTAAAGGGAAAGAGTTGCTCATCAAACTCGACATGACGAGCAACATATAGATGATTACTCACCACATCAAAGTAGCGATAACCGAGATGAGACGAAGAATATCCAAGAAAGACATACTGAGTAGAGCAAAAAGAGAACTTATGTCGATTGTATGGGCGAAGAAGAGGATAGACAGCACAACCAAAAATACGAAGAAAGGTATAATCAGGTGGCTGGTGATATAGTGTAGTGAAGGCTATTTGACCCTGAAGAGGTTTACTAGGGTGGTGATTAATCAAGAAAACAGCAGTTTCAAAGGCAAAGTCCCAAAATCAGAAAGGAGTACTAGAATGACCAAGGAGAGCAAGTCCAATGTAACAATGTGACGAATTTTGCGTTCAGCAGTGCCATTCTGCTCATGGGTGTGAGGGCACGCTAGACGATGAGCAATACCGACATCCTTAAAGAATGAATTCAGAGGACGAAATTCATTACCCCAATCTGAGTTGACACTTTTAATAGTGGTGCCAAATTGGTTTTCTACGAAAACTTTGAACTGCTTAAAAACATGAATAACATCACTCTTATGCTTAATTGGATAAATCCATGTGAATAAAGAAAAATTTATCAATAAAAAGTACAAAGTAACGATAGCCACTGAAGGACAAAATAGGAGCAGGACCCCAAACATCAGTGTGGATTAAATCAAGCGGTTTAGAACTACGATGAAATGTAGACGGTAAACTAACCCTATGAAACTTTCCTAGACAACACGCCTCGCATTTATCAGTAGACGTGGACATAGAGAAATGAGGGAGTTGAAACTGCTTAACCAAAGCACGAAGAGTGACATTATTAGGGTGCTATAAACGAGCATGCCATTGGCCTAAGGAAACAAGGAACCACGAGCAGGAAGATCTAACCGATAGAGGCCATTATCAACCTTACCTTGGAGAAGCAGTTCCTTGGTTGATAGATCCTTAACACAACAGGAGTCTGAATAAAATTCAAAGAAACAGTGATTATCCCGTGTAAATTGTTGAACAGATAATAAAGGTTTAGTGAGATTAGGGGCATGCAGGACACGATTTAAAGAGGATGAGAAGATGATGGCAAAACAAATTGACCAACATGCTTAATAGGTAAAGCAGCACCATTGCCAACTAAAATATGATCTGTGCCAGTATAATCACTGACGATGTTGAGAGACGACAATGATTCAAACACTTTGAAAAAAGCAAACTCGTAATAGTTATATATAGTGTAATCATCATCAAAGCATTGTCGTATATGTTAATGTTTTCAGTTATAGCAAAACAACAACTATGGAGAATTTACCTTCTGTTGTCGTGCTTTTGTGTCTTTTCTCATTAATCTTCAAACTTCAATGTGTGCCTATGGCGGGTTGCAATGACAGCGAAAGACGAGCTCTTATGGAATTCAAAAGCCACCTTGTTGACTATGCGAATCGCTTGTCATCATGGAATACTGGAAAAGATTGTTGCGATTGGGATGGAATTACTTGCAACAATCTCACTGGTCGCGTGGAGAAGCTTGATCTTCGTAACCCAATCCAACCAAATGACGACAGGTCATTGTCTTCTTCTTCAAGGAATATTGATTATTTCAGAAATAATTGCTTGGGAGGAGAAATAAATCCTTCATTAGGAGATTTAGAGCACTTGCATTATCTAGATCTCAGTTCCAACAAGTTTTCTGGAATTCGAATCTCAAAATATTTCGGATCTTTTCGAAATTTGAGGTACCTCAACATCTCTGGTGCAGGATTCGATGGAGAGATTCCTCCTCATCTTGGAAATTTATCTCAACTACAACATCTGGATATTGGTCAACCTATTTCCGGGTTAACTCATAACACCTTAAGTTCCAAAAGTCTTGAGTGGATTACGAGATTTTCTGTCCTAAAAAGTTTAGACCTCTCTGGAATCAACCTAAGTGAATGTCTTGATTGGTTCCATTCAGTTAACATGCTTCCTTCTTTGTCATCCTTGAATTTAAGGTACTGTGAGTTACTCGCAGGTAAACCAGTTTCTCTTTTTCCTTCTAATCCTTCCCATTTTATGAATCTAACATCTCTTGTTTCACTCGATATCGGGCAGAATTATTTCAGTTCTACCTCAGAACTCAATTTGTTCGTCCACCTTTCCAGCAATCTTCAAGTTCTAAGACTTGACCGAAATAACTTCAATGGGCCGTTTCCTTTCAAGATGTTTGAAAAATTCAGGTATTTGTCTGTCTTAGACATTCATGGAAATTCTTTTAACTCCTCAGCTTCAATGCTAGATTCACTCTGCAACCATTCTAGTCTTGTTGTTCTTGATCTTAGTTTCAACGAACTCGAAGGGCCGCTTCCTCTTTGCCTTGGAAACCTGACTTCTCTGAAGGTTTTTGATCTAAAAATAAACAGATTTGATGGAAAAATACCCAGTGAGTTGGGCTATCTCAAAGAACTTAGTTATCTCGACTTGTCTTCGAATTCATTCAACTCTTCCATTCCCTCAAGTTTGGGGAAACTCAGAAAGCTAGAATTTCTGTATCTTAATGGTAATCATCTGTATGGTAAAGTACCTGCAACTCTGGGGCAACTCAGCAGACTGAAACAATTATCCATCTCAGGGAATTCATTGACTGGTGAGATATCCGAATTGCATTTTATGAAACTCAAACGTTTGAAATACTTGGGATTCTCTGGATTTGTTGAACTCAGAGTGAATCCTCAATGGATCCCTCCATTTCAACTAAGGCAAATTTATATAGATTCCTTAAACATGGGGAATCAATTCCCTCCATGGCTTCAGACCCAACAAAATGTTAGTGTGTTAATCATGAGAAATGCCTGAGTGGTTTGGGACTACTTTTTCTAGTGTCACATACTTGGACTTATCAAAGAATAAAATCAACAACGTGTTGCCGTCATCAATGAAGAACTTGAGATGTTTAATTGAAGTTGATCTCAGCGAAAACAAACTTACCGGCACCATAACAGAATGGATTAACCAGGAGTTGTCACAATTACGGATGCTTACACTTCGATCAAACAGTTTCTACGGTGTGATACCTTCATCCTTCAAGTACTTTAAGTATTTTTATTATCTTGATCTCAGCGAGAATCAGTTTACTGGAACCATACCTGAATGGATTGGTGAAGTGTCACAGATAGAAGAACTTAGACTTCGATCAAACAGTTTCTATGGTGTGATCCCCGTACAACTCTGCCAATTGCCGTACCTGAAAACCCTAAGCTTGGCAAATAACAACTTAACTGGATATATCCCTGATTGTCTTTTGTAAGGGCAAACTGAAAGCCAGAAGAGCATAGTCATTCTCTTTCTGATTCCCATCAGAACTGAGCAAGGGAAGTGTAACTACTGCAAGGATTCGCAAAAGAAAACTGGCGCAACATTGACGTATAAAAGCAATACCGATTTAATCCCGAGTAGGATCTTTCACCAGTAGTTGCAAATTACTTCAGGTCTGTTAGCTTTCCGCGGTTGAACTGAAATCTCTTTTGCACAATGTATACCTTCTCTATAAAGAAAGCTTACTGGGAAGAAATAGGTGCCATAAAAAGATGCCTCCGAAAAATATAACATTCCCCGGCCCATGAATGAATGGAAGTTGTGAAAATTGAATCAGGTATCTTATGTGACAAGCGCAGTCAGGATCAAAACAGAATGATTTTCTGAATCCCAATCTAGCTTGACTTCATCCTGCTTACTGACAGTTACCACAAAAAATCTTTCATATAGGGGCCATAATATTTTACTGTATAATGGGTATATTGTTGTACCAAAGAAGGGAATACATTTGCTCTATGGAATAATTTTCCATAGTTAAGCCCAAGTCTTGAGAAAATAGAGAAAATAAACTTTCTGAAACGGGCCGGGGGTGAAGTTATTTATTGTGTTCTGCTAATTATTATAAAATATTTTTATAGTTTTATTTTTAATTAGAAGAACATAGTAAATGAAATTAAAGACAAATAAACATATCTTATAAAAAGGACCATAGGAAGTATATGTTTAAAATGAGAGAACGGTTGTCAACTGCAATTAAAAAAAAAAAAAACAAAACAAAAATTCACAAACCACATGCTACAATAAAAATTGGGAATTCTGCTGATTCATTTAATATGATGTCCAAAAGGTTTTTTTCTCCTCGTAAATTCATTTCAAGGAAAAAAGAAAGAATAAAGAAGTAGTCTACATTTTATTTCTTTCTTATGGTACAAATAGGAACTAAAAGTGAGGGCTAACGTATGGCTAAGCAATAGGCCAACATCCACCTCGAAGCTCCAGTACAATTTATTTTCAAAATCAGTTGTCTGGTGGATTTCGATCATTGTCATAACTTTCCACCAGTATGTTTCATTAAATTAAAACAGTATGACAAAAATTATTGTTTTTGAAGTGCATGTCAGTATTTATCATCCAACTATTACAACCCATGATTTAATTTAAATATAATAAAATAAATACTAAAATAATTACATCATCTTTCGACCAGTTCTAATTAAAAAAAAAAAAATCTCACAAAGAAGCAAGACAAGAAACAAAAAGACAGAAAATAAATTAATAGCAAATAAGATTGATTAGATAATGTTATAAATCTTGTGCAATTACAGTATACTAGATGAATGGTGAAGCTGTTGACCTATATTATGATTAGGCCTCTATATTTGTGAGGATTGGGATGCTAACTTCGTCGATGTCAATGTCGGTGTCGGTGCTGATGCTCGATAACCTCCATCTCTCTGTTTTTGCCCTAATTGCTTTCGATATTTGGTGTAAATCAATGGCGATCGAGAAGGAAGGATATGAAGAAGGCAAAGAATGATAGCTCTGTCCTAAAATTATTCTTTTGTTTGAATTTTTACTTTTAATTCATTTTGTAATAAGAATAAAAATCCAAACTAAACAATAATTTGAGGAGAGAAGGAGTAGTAATTATAGAGCAGAAACCAAGTTGCCTAAGACTGCGAAAACACCGAAGACAATGCAGCAGGAGATAGAGATATTCCGATCTATTACCGCCTTATGGAGTGATTGCTCAAGAGTTAATCCGAGCCGCTCATCTTGATGCATTACATTGTCAAGATCAGTGAACAAACAGAAGGAAGTCATATTCTTCTTCCTCTAAATTAATACTACCTCCGTCCCATAAAAATAATCCACACAAAATTCAAAACTCAATATGGACTATTTTTGAGGAACGGAGAGAGTAAGATTCTTCCCTTCAATTAACAAATTAAATCGATCAAACTCTCTCACTAATCAATCAACATATTATTATAGCAAAACAACTTTTCTGAACAGCATTGAAAATGGTTAGCTTTAGTTCCCTGATAAATTAATTGTGTACTTTTTTATTAAAAAAAAGTAGATTACTACTAATTAAGACGAACCAAGTATTTTACAAAATTATCAACACAATCGGGCATGCAACACTAATAAAAATCGAGAAATTTTTGTTACTGATAATTTTCCTTTTGAGACAGATTTTTTTTTCAAAGAGTAATGATACATAATTGGAATCATTTACAAGGAAAAGCAAGAAAAATTATGTGAATTCAATTATATTCATCTATTTTCACAATTTTAAAGTTATTACATTATGTTAGGCATAATTAATATGAAGCTCATAGGAGCTCCTTGCTAGGAGCTCTTAGGCCACCTACTGCACTACTTATTTTAGCAATTGTCTATTGTATGTTTGATGAATTATTATTTTGTATTTATTTCAGTTTTCAAAAAAAAAAAAATTAAACCAATCAAACGAAATAAACAAACAAATTTATCACCCTTTTATGGTCAATTAAATGGTAATACAATTTAACTAAAATTTTTCTTTATTATTTCTGTTAATTTAGGTTCGTAAACTTGAATAAAATATAAAATTCAAACTAAACGAGAACCATGATAAATTACGCTAGCCCAAGTCAACAATTGCAAATAGGTTGGGGTGTAGTTTTCGATTTAATATGATGAATTTAAGATTTTTTTTCACAAAAAAAAAAACAAATAAAATTGGTAAAATTCGTTAGGGGTTTACACATGAATGTGATAGAATCAAAAACAAATAAATAAACAATAATACAAAACGTTTTGCGGTCCTTTTAAAATGATTCATGGTTCATATTCTTACAAAACAAGTAAGGATGTTTTTTTTTTCCGTTCTAAACATATTCAAACATGCCCACGAATTTAAACCCATATACTATTTTCGACATGGACAAATTTTCACAAGTTCTTGAGCCTTTTTCTCCTTTTTTTTGTTCCACGAACATAGTGACTTTTGTCCCAAATTCCACCATTTGACATTTAAACAATTGAACGATGACTTTTGACGATTTCTGTTATGCATGTATGCATCAAAATGCCTTCGTATCAATATAAAGTAATGTTAATCAACCGTAAATACTTAAAATAATCAACAAATATTCAGGTAAATTCTCTGCAAACCAACTTGTAAACTCTAGGATCATCAGATTGTCAAGAATATTACTGTTTGGACTTTGGATGATGGTCAAATCCCAAACAAAAGTCTCAACAATATTAATTTTTTTATGTCACATTAACGACTCCAAATTTCTTTCATATATGTATATAAAGTGTGGGTGCGAAAATTTGTTCAAACACTTTGACAAAGTCTGACGTAGTCCGTTATATATAGGATAATCATCAAAAACATTGTATTGCATCAATGTTTTTTATTAGTAAAAGAAAAACCATGGAGAATTTACATGATGCGGTTTGGCTTTTGTGTCTTTTCTTAATAATCTTTAAGCATCAATATGTGCCTGCGAGAGGGTGCATTACCAGTGAGCGACGAGCTCTTCTGGATTTCAAAAGCCTCATTGTTGACAACGCGAATCGCTTGTCATCGTGGAACACTGCGAAAAATTGTTGCAATTGGGATGGAATTACTTGTAATAATCTCACTGGTCGCGTTGAGAAAGTTGATCTTCGTAATCCAATCCAACCTCATGACATCTCGTGGTCTTCTTCGTTTAGCAATATTGATGAGTTTAGAAAGAATTGCTTGGGAGGCGAGATCAATCCTTCTATACGCTTTTTGGAGCACTTGCGTCATTTAGATCTCAGCTCTAACAAGTTTTCTGGAATTCGAATACCAAAATTTATTGGTTCTTTGAGAAATTTGAGGTACCTTAATATCTCTGGTGCAGGATTTGATGGAGAGATTCCCCCTCATCTTGGAAATTTGTCTCAACTACGACATCTAGATATTGGTCAACCTATTTCCGGGTTAACTCATAACACCTTAAGTTCCAAAAATCTTGAGTGGATTACGAGATTTTCTTTCTTGAAAAGTTTAGACCTCTCTGGAATCAACTTAAGTGAATGTCTTGATTGGTTCGATTCAGTTAACATGCTTCCTTCTTTGTCATCCTTGAATTTAAGGTCCTGCAGTTTACCAGTTGGTGAAGGTCTTCTTCCAAAATTTTCCAATTTTATGAATCTAACATCTCTTGTTTCACTCGACATGGGGCAGAATTATTTCAGTTCTACCTCAGAACTTTATTTGTTCTTCAACCTTTCCAGCAATCTTCGACTTCTTAGGCTTGACAGCAATGACTTCAAAGGGCCATTTCCTTTCAATATGTTAGAAAATTCCAGGTCCTTAACTGTCCTTGACATCCATGGGAATTCTTTCAACTCCTCAACATTCATGCTAGATTCACTGTGCAACCTTTCTAGTCTTGTTGTTCTTGATCTCAGTTACAATCTACTCGAAGGGTCGCTTCCTCTTTGCCTTGGCAAGCTGACTTCTCTTGAGATTTTGAATCTGAAAATGAACAAATTTGGTGGGAAAATACCCAATGAGTTAGGGGATCTCAAAGAACTAACTTATCTCGACTTGTCCTCCAATTCATTCAACTCCTCCATTCCCTCAAGTTTGGGAAAACTCAGAAAGCTAGAATTTCTATATCTTGGTGGAGGCAATCAGTTGTATGGTACAGTACCTTCAACTCTGGGGCAACTCAGCGGACTAAAAGAATTATCCATCTCTGGGAATTCATTGACAGGTGAGATATCCGAGTCGCATTTTATGAAACTCAAACTTTTGAAATATTTGGAATTCTATGGATTTGTTGAACTCATAGTGAATCCTCAATGGATTCCTCCATTTCAACTAAGGCACATTTATATAAATTCCGTAAACATGGGTAATCAATTCCCTCCATGGCTTCAGACCCAACAAAATGTTAGTCTGTTAATTTTGAGAAACGCCAGTATCTCTGGTCCTGTACCTGAGTGGTTTGGGACTACTTTTTCTAGTGTCACAGACTTGGATTTATCAATGAATAAAATGCATGGGGTGTTGCCTTCATCAATGAAGAACTTGAGAAGTTTAGCTGATGTTAATCTCAGCGAAAACAAACTTACCGGCGCCATAACTGAATGGATTGGAGAAGAATTATCACAATTACAGAGGCTCAGACTTCAATCAAACAGTTTCTATGGTGTGCTGCCTTCATCCTTGAAGTACTTTAAACATTTATATGATCTTGATCTCAGTGACAATCAATTGACTGGAATCATTCCTGAATGGATTGGTGAAGTATCACAGCTAGAAGATCTTCGACTTCAATCAAACCGCTTCAATGGTCAGATTCCCAAGCAACTCTGCCAATTGCCATACCTGCAAACTCTAAGTTTGGCAAATAACAACTTAACTGGACGCGTACCAGATTGTCTTTTGTAATCATTAAAGTGCAATCAAGGATTAGAAGTGGATTTTGCTTAGACCAAATTGTGATGTTATCTATGATGTTTGCACTTTGAGTAAGTTGTAGTCGTTCTTTTACATCATCTCTGAATAAAGGTCTATGACTTCTTTACCTTCGAGTGGAAGAAGCTCGCTGGGAAGCAAAGTCATTTCAACTTCTGAAATGGAAATCCATGCTTCTAGTCCATCGTCATTCCTTATGCTCATTAAACATTACTTCAGTGTCATTTGGGGTACTGGCAGGGCAAAAGTGAAATAGGTTTACACCATCCAAGATCGACTGCATGCATTGAAGTTCTACGCCAACTGCTTATTCCAATCACTCATCGTAACTTTTTGCTGAAACATCTTTTCCAATATTCTACTCGTGTCCAGGTTCTTTTGCAACAGGAACTACAAAATTGTATACATAACCACCGTAAACATTCCTTATTGCAGTACTTATCAGTTATCACCGATATCTGATAAACATACTCATCCTCTTTCTTTTTCCTATCAGAAGTGAAAGAAGCCAGTGTAACAACTACAAGATTCCCAGAAGAAAACTGAGCATCATTTGATAGAGCTAACATGCTCATTCTGCTTCTCAAATTCACCATATCCCAGATCCTGAACATTATTTTGGCACCTTGATTTTCAGCTCACGCCACATTGATAAATTACTCCATATTTATAGCGGTAACGACTTCACCCGATTGGGATCCTTTACTGGTACTTGTGAGGAAGTCGTTGCAAGTTTCGTCACCTCTATTAGCTTTTCCTCCTTGAACAGACATCGCTTTTGTTCGTCTTTCTTCTCTGTAATTGGAAGAAAGCTTACAGGAAGGTATCAGGAAACAGATGCCTTCAAAATTTGGTTCCTTCAACATTGCTGTATCAATTTCGCCACGATTTGTAGCAGCCCCATGAGTCGATGAAAGTTAGCATGTAACTTAACTAAATCAGCTACCTTCTGCGAAACGCATACCCATCGCACTGTCTCATCGTTCAAACCAGTTGATTATGACGGCTAATAGTATCTAATTTCTTAAGTAGCAAATAGTTTGACTGCGGCACCATTAATATATGGCTCAAATTGCAAGTACTGTCTTAATTGTTCTAAGGGAGAATTCTAGACTGCTCACGACAAGGCAAAACCAACCTTAGTTTCTAACAAAAGAGCTACAGAGTCATCCCAATCAAGAGAATGAAACTCTGGATTCAGCTTACCGGCTTAAGGGTAAAACTTAGTTAAAAGTCTCAAATACAGACTGTTGCTAAAGCAGGGATCTTTCGCATGAATGAAGAACTTTTGAATGATCTAGGGGATTTCGTTAGACAAAGAAGAGGAATAATATTAGAGGGTCGAAGGATATGTAAGAAAGACAGTCTCAGGTGTTGGCAGTCAAGGACAGTACTGGAGTACGAGATGAAGGTTAAATCAACTCTTTGAAAACTATATCAATCTTGAATTCCATCTTTCTTGTTGCAGTTGTCTTTTCTGCTCTGCATTTCAAACCTCTCAAACGGAATCCATGAACAAAAACATTTCAGTATGAATTCCGTTCATCCATCTGCAATATCCACTCACCAATACTTGCCACACATTAGCATCTTTGATAATCCATCAAGCAGTTTTCGAAAAAAAATATCATTCCATCAATTGGTCCCACAAGGTAAGAAGTACTGATCATGACTGCTTTATATGACATCGATGTTTTCAAAGGATCAATGCTCATAATTCCTCAGTAATGGTGTTTCTATCAAAGAAAGGCGAAAGTGAATGATGAAAGGTGATCTAGGAAAATGCAGTATATGCTGATTAACCAACAAACCAAAAATGGGGAGAAGCTGGGCACATAAAAAATTTATTTGCATTGCGAATGACAGCAAGTGTCATCAGTCACTTGATGTGAACAACTCGATATCATTGCCATTTGAATTCCAATAATAAGTATCATGAACAAAATTAAAATTTGTGCAAGAAAATAAAAGTCCAAGTCGAGAAACAGCTCGCTTGATTAAGCAAAAAGTGAATATGAACATATTATTAGCCTAATGGATATTTTAAGCCAGGTATGTGAAAGATCAAATTCTAATTCTTGTGACAGACAAAATACTCACCCTGTCCTAAAATAAGAGTCCTGTATGATAAGTAAGAGTAAGGTCTCTTGTATGATTTCTCTACACTAACTGCAACAAATCCTAAACTAGAACCCTTGCCCATAAGTTTTAAGACAAGCATTCATTCATAAAATACCATCAGAAAACAAAATTCAAAATTGTGACAAACAAACACATAGGTCCATTTCAGGGCTGCAACGCTTCATAAAACATTGACAAGCAATCAAACAAGAGACAAGTGCCAATAAGACATACACCAAGTAATTTTGCATTAATCAGAGCGAATGTAACAACTGAGCCACAGAAAATAACAGAAACTAAACTATACATGGAGAAGAGACTACCATTGAAGTTTCAACGACAGGAATATCAGACTCGTAAAAGTTTTCAACACTAGGATTCATGTATTACTAATTCATGACGTATCCTTCAGTGCCTTACACAAAACAAAATATAGACTACAACAGTAGTTTAACTAGTCAGCCTATGCATATACCTGCCTGCTGCATTCAACTTCAATCACATAACTTGGAGATCACATTCACATAACTGCTAGAATCTACCCAAAAACCTAATTGCATCGTCAATCTTGTCATAGTCGCTGAATTTTCCATATCTACAAAGCCCTACACCAAACACCAGTTCATGCTACCTGCAATGGAGGCAAACTACATTACTAATGCGACTCTGGGGTTTATCTCCAGCTAAATACACCTAAGAACGTACATCAGCGCTTACAATACAAGCTAGAAAAATATACCATGTAAATATAGGGATCATTACGCCCTCCAGCTCCACACCTCTTCACCTGATGTAAGCTAAGCAATCTGCAAGTTTAGTTTTTGAATTAGATTTTTGAATCCTTACAATTGCTAAAATTCGTAATCACCAATTCTACCCAAAATTTAACATCATCCAAACTCAATTCAAATGTCATTTGCTGTTGAAAACATCATCCAAAAATCGGAATTAATGTAAGATCAGTAAAGCATGACAAATCGAATTTAACATGCGTGTGTATGTGTGTGTGTGTGTGTGTCAGAGGGCTTACAATCGAAGGGCTTTGCTGGTACTGGGGCTGTCGCCGAGCAGCTGGCGGAGCCTAACTTCAGATGCACAGCCCTGGGACGTCAGAATCCTCAAGATCGATTCGGCTCGAATACGAATGTGAGTAGAACCGAGAACTGGCCTTCTTCTATTAGGCTGTAGAACTGAAAGATGATCGTAGCTCCGACCAAAAGTCAAGTTGCTGCCGCCGGAAACAGAATCTGAGGCCGATGGTTCAGGCGATGCAAAGCTGCTCTCGGAATTCAGCGAACTCTTTTGCTCTTCTTCCTCCACCGTCTCCTTCGGCTTCATCTTCAGCTTCAACTTAATCTTCATCTTCTCCAACTGTGCAAAAATAAAACACACACGCGCACGCACACACACACACACAGACAGTCATGAATTTCGATTTCGTAAGCAAAAATAGTGAAATTAAAATGAAAAATTCGACTGATTAGAAGGAGAGAAACTGTGAAAAACAAAATTACCTGCGGCGGAGGAGTGGCGGAGGGAAGGAGAAGCGATGAGGGCAACGTCGAGGTTAATTTGGACTCTTGGAATTCGGAAATGTTTTGTGTATTCCAGCTTCGGAAATGATTACATTTTCCACTACATTTTTTTTTAATAAAAAATACTACAAATTTTACATTTTGCCTCCAATTTTTTTACCCAGATAAAGCATTGGCGGGATGTTGAAATTTTCCCCCAAATTTCGAATGAACTGTATTTGTAGGATAAGTGTTTGCAAATTGTGATTTTGATTTTTTTTTTTTTTTTTTTTTTGCTTTCTCATTTCTGAGTAACTAATTTATTGTTAACATCATTTATATAGTCTATTTTATTAAATGTTCACTTTTTTTGAGATAGAAGAAATAGCATATAAATATTTTTCAAACTATATATATTAATGACTAGATGTTAAACCCGTCCGATGGACGGGACAAAAAAGTTATTTCGAAAATAAATCTTCGAGATTAAAAATAAAAGTTTGACAAAATTAAAAATAAATTCTTTAATTTCAAATAATGGAGTACTTTTTATTTTTTTTTTTGATAATCAAATAATAGAGTACTTCTTTATACATTACATTGATTGCCTTGTTACTTCTCATTCCATCTTAACCACTTATTAAACTTTAAGACCTTTTCTTAATGCAACGCTGGACAGAAGTCGTAAATGGATTTGCAGTGGAAATTGTAAGGTTGTAAATGGGGAAGTGAAGCAAATACGTCCACCTAGTAACGATAATGGGTTAATTATCTGTCTTCTTTGTGGATTGTGATTTATCGACCCGTGAGATCAAGAAACAGTTTATAGTATTAATTCTTTTGTTGGAAGTTGTATTTTATGATTGAATAGTTTTTAAGAAGCTTTGTAGAAACATTATTTAGATGCTTTAGATGTTGTCGTTTTGATTGTGAAATGACAATCAGACAGTTTTAAACAAAGTAGGGAAATATAATGATAAATCATTACAATATTGTTGATGGATTTGATTTGAGATAGGAGTCTATTTATCACACGAAACAGTGTCAAAATAAAGTTGTAAATGACCACCAAAATCCGAAAAATCAGTAAAAATAAAGTCGAATCAGTTTTATCGGTGATTTGAATAACTTGGAATTACCATTTCAAAAAAAAAAAAAAAAAAGAATAACTTGGAATTCTTCAAAAGTTCAATCACTACAACATATTACACAAACAAAACTTCACCCAAAAGAATTCCACCAGAAAGAATCGAAACAAATCCTCCCCCACTATGATGGAAATTATCGCTAGGAATAAGAAACAATATCACCCTTACTCTTTCTTTTTATTATTGGTTGGGATTATCACTCCTCTTCTATATGCCTACATCTGTAATCATCCAAGATCAAACCAAGTGAGGAACAAACATAAAATCAATGCGGTTAGAAAACATCATTGAGGTTATGGCCATTGCAGCTCCTTCGACTTAATTACTCAATAGTCATCACTTTGAATGGAGAAATACGTTGATGCTGAAAAAAATACTAAAAAATATGAATGGATCGAGAAAATGACATAGTTTTTATTCAAACTCTTCGCTCATGCATCTTAATTCATTAGTACAATTTTAAACAAATATATAAATAAATAAAAGAGCATTAAACTCATTTTAAGCTCGTCGCGCCTGCAACTTAAATTAATTTGAACAGTTTTAAACAAAATACATACATAACTAAAAATTGCTCCATGAAGCAATGCCAGTAAACTGGTACCTCCGGTGAATCTTCGTCAATCATCATAGCGAAGAAGAGAAGAAAAAGAACTGGAGGGCAACGGGACGTGACAGTATGAAATACCTTGAACGTGCAATGTTGTTTAGTGTTTTTCTGCTACAATTAGATAGATATTGGACCTTCGTTTATTATGATTTGTACATCTTGAAATTTAGGGCCTTTAAAAAAGGCGCTCATCACGTTAGAATTGCCGTGATTTCAACAAAATTAATATAGAGATTCCTTTAAATTTGGTTGTTTAAGATAGGATTGTTTTCTATTTATCACTTCATTATCTCTTTTATAAGTTAAATGGATACTAAATTTTGTAACAATTCAACTGTTGAGATCTCCTTATTGATAATGGTATACAAAATAAACTACCAAATCTCATCCATGATTCAAAATTTTGATATAGTTATTCAAATGGATCGATTCCGATTTTCTTGCTTGTTTTCAAATACTATCTTTGCGTTGGTCTTCTGTCTAACTACATTTAGTAGTAAAGTTTGCCTGCAGTTAAATAGTAATACGTTGTAGTAGTAATTTTTATTTTTGTTATTTTTAAATCAAATACCAACTGATTTTATTAATAGAAGATAGAGATGTTTTTTTCTTTTTTAATAAATCAAAAAATAGAGAAAATTCCTAATCCTACGTGGCAAGTAAAAAATATCCCAGTTTCCTATCTCTGTATTTTCTATTGTTAAGTTATATAGATATAGATATAGATATAGATAAATATTAGTGTCTTAAGTTCTTGATTATTATAACAGAACAGATTAAATCCATCAACTTAAGGACGGTCGAAATAAATGAAGACCCAATACAAGTACTGAAATAGGTAAGTTGGGAAGAAGCCTAGTCCAAATTGTTTGCAAGGTCGTGTTGATTGATATTAAATTCAAAATCTAAAATACCGTTACCGTTTGAAGAAATATCAGCTACTTTAGATTTTGGATGAAAACCTCGGGAGTGTTTTTGATATTAACCCTTAAATTTACTACATCAATTTTTTCGCTACAATGAGAGAGGTAAAGTTTTGAATGCCAAGCATAATTTCTAAACCTAGTTGACAGCACTGAATGATTAAAAAATGACTGATTCAAGAATATCATGAATCACAAGATAGTTTAGGTACCAAATATGTACAGTCCATGATTCAATATTTGAAGATTAGTATTCACTCTTGATATCTCTCGATTTATTTTTAAGGGACTTATCCTCCTCCCTAAAAATATTGATATATTCTCGACAAAGGAATAATTTCGGCATCAAAAAGTTTATCCCGGACAATAGAGAGGCTTTGTAGATTAGAAGATGAAAGACACTGGTCATGAGTCAATCATATTGGGGTTGATAGAGCTCCATCAAAAAACAAACAGAAGACCGACGTTAATGGTTGTGTCGAGTTCTCCACAGTCAATAACGAAAGACAGACAAGAACAATGTAGAATAATAGTCAATTCCTCAGCAGAAGATTTTAGTCAAAAAGAAAGTAAAACCAATGTGTTCGTGCAAAAAAAATAAATAAATAAAACAAAATAAAACAGAACAAAACAAAAATTAAGAGACCGATCTCGATTCTGTAGCCTGAACACTTGCCAAACGATTGAGTGATATTCAATGAAAACATGTGGATGGATCTGCTAAGAAATAGCTGCGTGCATATCGAGACTATTTGAAAGAAATAGGGGTTTTATTTTTTATTTTATTATTATTATTATTTTTTGGTTAATTACTTCAACTTGATGTTTTGTTGAAATAATCTCAGCTGCCCTCAAGGTGGTGGGAGAAAAGGATTGCGGAAGAGATAATAAGGGCAATTATATCCAAACAAAAGTTTTTTTATTTTATGATTATTATCAAATAATTTACTGTCCTCTTTTTATATTTTTAAATTATTATTAATTTGTAATAAGTAGTTCCACACTTCCACTCCCCTTCGGCAAAATTTTTCCTAATAATTAAACTACAAATTTCCATTTATTTTGTAAAAAAAAAACCCTAATCTAGGAAGAAGAAAGAATTTGGTGAGCTAAATTAGAAGACCCGAGAAATAAAGAAATAGTGTCAGATTAATTAAATAATTAATTAACCTAATTGATTGTCGGTGATTTGATAGGACGCACGCAAGGAAATAGAAGTGTGATCTTTTAATACTCAACACGATTCCTCCCAACTCCCTACAAGCCTCATTCCAGGGACAAGTTATAAGAGCCACAAATAGATCAGATCCTTCTAAGCAAGTTCAGGCCAAGGTCGTGACGGAAATCATATCCATCATGAAGAAGACAAAGATCCCGGCAGAGGGTTCCGGAAACATGAACAGTTTTGCCGGATGAAATCATCGTAATAATTCTGTCCTATACAAATATTGCTGACGCAGCGCGCACCAGTGTTCTTTCTCGTAGGTGGAGGCATTTATGGCGGTCGGCGTCTCGTGATTTGGATTTTGATTTCCACCGGAACGATGACGACAACGACGACGACGATGATGCCTCTTTTGTTGAGGCAACAACAGAAGCCCTGACAGTTTCGCATGCACGTTCAAATGTAGACAAGTTAAGAATTCGCCTCAGAAACCGGTCGCGTAATGTCGGTGACGACATGATTTGATTGGGTTAGTTTTGCTGTGCGAAGACAAGTGCGAGTTCTCGAATTGGAAGCTTCTGGTGATGATATCCCTCGATTTGCGTCGCTAGCTCATTGCGATCCTGAATCCAGGGCTGGTGAGCCTGTCCCTGATTTGTCATCGTACGGTTATAATTTCCCTGTCTTGGAGAAACTGTTAACCTGCAGCCAGAACTGTTTTGCTACGTTAACATCTCTGAAACTGGTGAATTTTAACATTGATGAAGAAGGAGGGATCATGGATCATGTTTTATCCAATTGTCGGTTTCTCGAAGAACTATCTCTAAAAGGTGGAACTGGGTTGAAGAATCTGAACATTGTTAATCTTTCCTCCCTCAAGTATTTGAGTTCAGGTTCTTGTTGGGATTTAGGAAAGTTGAAGATTATTTCAGCTCCAAATCTGGTGCACTTTGAGCACAAAGGATTTCCTGAACATCCTCTGCCTTTTATGTGGCTAGACTTTTGCTTTGAAGATGTCCCTCTTCTTTCGCAGGTTACTATGGACACAAATTATTTATTGTCTTTCATGGGAGTAAGGCGAAAGCACGAAGTATACTCGAATCAATTGGAGAAAGTGTTCATGCATATTTCTTGTTACTCAGAATTCGATAATGTGGTTAATTTTGATTATCGTCGCACCTTCCCCACTATGAGATGCCTCAAACAGCTTGATATGTTCATTACGACGGTTCCCGGCGCAAGTCTCATATTCTTTGTGTTATGCATCAAGTCGTGTCCTTTCTTATCTACCTTGTTTGTTCAGTTCGCTGAGGAGAAGATAACACAAAACGATAAAGTGGAAGCCACGATTCGAACCTCTTTACGTCACTAAAGAGAACTTCAGAAGAGAGTGAGTCAATATCGTCATAACCATTTGAAAGAGGTGACGTTGTCAGATTTCAGCGAGGAAAGGAACCGTGTTGATTTTGCAGTATGGACTTGGTCCGGATGTGCACTGCGTTGAAGAAATTAACTATTACGACTAAGAGGGATGATAATGAACAATAACAAGGGATGGAAATAATAACAGATGAAACAAAGAAGCTGCTGGAGGATAATCTAGCCAATGGTGCCTAACTTTTGCTAGAGCAGCATATGTAGTTTATTTATTCCACTTGTTCCAGGGAGAAAGTGTATTGATATTGCTAGTTCCATCTATCTATAAGTTTTATCGCCTTCTACTACTTAATTTTTAAAAGTAACCCTTCTTTATGACCACTCCAACTTAATTTACAGCCTTCTCCACTTCCACTCCAACTCTAAGATCTCCACCCATCACCCGAGCATTGATGAACTGATCACCATATTGTTAGAGCAAATCTTTTTCAAGGAGATCGTGTTTTCATGAGTTTTGGATCTCTCTATTCTCATATTTACCTAGCCTTTGAGAATATACTTTGCATAGTATAGCCAACATTAGTTCCAACCTAATACAACAAAGGTTAGTCTAAAAGGGGAGAATCCTCTGAGCCAATCATATATTCCAACAATTGTTGATCTTGAATGGCATATCCAGGTAGGAAATACCATTCTAGCACAATAAAAGGGAACGAGGAGGCAAGCCCCCCATCTTCTGCATATCTTGCTCACCCGCCATGACTTGAAGGTTGAAAGATCATATGAGTTGAAGGCTCGAAAGCATATATTTATTTGGTCCCTCGATGTTGTTTCGTTAAGTAATAGATATGAAGCTTTTAATCAACCCAAGAAAGTAAAAATATATATATTACTAAAATGATAACCCAAGAATTTCCATGCCTTTTCAATTGACTTTCAACGCGCACCACTTGATGACGACTAGCCATATTGGCTGTGTTCTTAGAAGAGCCAAAATACATAAGGTCAAGTATTTGTTGCATATGTGATCATAAAGATGAAAAGAAACATATACAAATTATTTGGGGACAGAAACACAAAGGTAATAAGCACAAACATGATGCTTAACCCGTAGTTGCAACACAAGAGTGAAAAAGAACAAGCTAGAGAACAACTAAGTTAAGAAGCCACTAAGCCTATGGATGAACTCATCAGTGTAAGAACTTTTAAGCGCTTCTCCGAGTAAGAACTCCTTCCATTTAGTATAATCACCACTTCAATGGCTTCACAAAGAGCATCACTTGTAAACAAACCATATCCTTTTTGAAACCTGAATTCACTACCAAACGCGCTATAGATCACGATTTTATTGCCATATCCGTTCCACCACTTAGCCAATTCCTCCTCCAGAGCTGAAGTCCGCTGAACTGGAACCACCGGTCCCGCAAGATTCACTGGCTTCTGGAACTTGCTTTCCAGATAATCACAATACTGCCCTTCTATTTTGGAACAAGTCTTGAAACTTAATGCTATCCCATTCCTCTGCTCTGATCAACAAACGCTCCAGAAGAGTTTTCTTGATTCCAATTTCTTTCAACCTGTCCAAACATTTTCAGTTCCCACGCTTCACGAGTTTGGAGCTTGACAGAAGAAGCCGAAGGAAAAACTTCTGGAGGATTTATAAAGCCAGCATCTGTTGTTGTTGGTTCACGGTGAAAAATATACGCCATGGTAGCAGGGCTCACCGTAGTGAAAAGAACCGACTTAATTCGCAATCGACGAGACATAGATGGTAACCAGTGAGTAAAATCAAAGAACACGAAATCTATATCTTCCGAGGAGAACAATTCTATTCATTTTAGCCAAGCAACAACCTAAGTTTTTCTCTCTGTTTTCAGAGTAATTTATGCATTCACAATCTAGTTTACTCATTGCATTTTGTAAGTGGAGAAACGAATTTGATCGTATACAGAAGTTATGTTAGAAATTGCAAGGAGTATATCCCTATAGTGTCTAAAGTATGTTCTGGAAGAGGAGGATGTTAGTGTAAATATAATTAGGACATTATTGTAATTGTATATATATCATTGTAGTATATATATCCATAATGTTAATACAATACCCGTCAAGGGTTTTCACACTTTCAGGTATCGAGTCTCTCTATTTGGGGCCGATATTTTTTAGTGTTTTTCTCCGTCCATCTTGTTTTCTTCTTGTCGTGGACTGAACCCGTTGTTTCCTTCTTGCCGCCGTCACCTTCTTCATTGTCTTCGGTGGCAGTGTCTCCTTGCTTCTTCTTCTTCGTTGGTGTTTTTATTTGATCGAAGTGCTACTGCAGTTCAGTTCTTCTTCCTTTATTCTCGCCACTGATAGATCTTCCTCGCCACGCTGCCTTCGATTGATGTTGCTTCACTGCTGCTGCTTCCTTTGTCTCTGTTGATTGCTGCTTCTTCGCTGCTGCTCTTTCGGTGATTCTTCATTGCTGCTACTTCCGGCGGACGTTCCATCACCGCCGAAGGTTCTCTTTTCTTTTTGTTTGCTTCTCTCCGCTACTGCTACCCTTTCTCCTTGTTGGTCTCTATTGCTTCATCTCCGTTGCTCTGGTTTGTTGTTGTTTGCGGGCTTCGTCAGCCTCCCGCCTCAACCATCTTTCACCGTTCTGCTGTTTTCGTTGCTTCCTTAATTGGCCCAATGCAAAAAAATAAAATAAAATAACTAAAAATTGCTGTTGCTTGCTTGTACATGGGTCCCGGTTGTTCTAGAGTTTGGTTCTACGTTTCGGTTCTATTCATCTTGGTCCAACCCGGTTCAGTTTGGTTCAGCCGGTTCGGGTTGGTTTGATTGTTTTGGTTAGATTTGGTGTGATTAAATTAGTTCGATTCACTTCCTCACCAGCTCCAGTTCTTTCTTTCCATTGTTATGACGATGGAATCTTTTGCTTCCTCCTTTCACCCGGCCTCATTTCTTCCTAATTTGGTTCAGTGCTTCAACTGTCATGGCTATGGTCACATGGCTTGTTCGTGTCCTTTAGTTCGTAGATCTATGCAGTCATATCCTTCTGCTTCTCCTGCTTATCATTCTGTTTCTACAGTTTATCCGGCCTCTCCTTCCACTGTGCAGCCACAGTACTTTGATTCTGCAGCTGGTGCTACCATGACTAATGATTCTGGTAATCTCATTACTTCTTCACCTTATACTGGTTTGGACAAATTATGTGTTGGTAATGGTGCTATGCTAGATATTAAATCCCTTGGTTCCTCTACTATTTGCTCCAAAAATCATTCGTTTGCTCTCACTAATGTGCTATATGTTCCTTCACTTACCCAAAAGTTTATTTCTGTTCGTAAATTCACCACTGGTAATAATTGCTCTGTGGAATTTGACCCCTTTGGTTTATGTGCTAAGGATCTCAAAACAAAGACCCAACTTCTTTAGTGTAATAGTTCAGGCCCTCTCTATCCCCTTCGCCCTTCTTCTCCTCCATCTTCGGTGCCAACTTTCACAGCTCTCTACACAAGCCCTCTTCTTTCGCATCGTCGTCTGGGTCATCCTGATTCTCGTGTCCTAAATAAATTAATTACTCGATCCCTTATTTCTAGTTCACCCTCTAATTCTCAATTTAGATTTTGTCATGCCTGCCAACTTGGGAAGCATGTGCGCTTACCCTTTGATAATTCTACCTCTCATACTACTTTTCCTTTTGAAATCATACATTTTGATGTTTGGTTTTCTCCCGTTACCTCTCCTACTGGTTATAGGTATTTTATGACATTCTTGGATGATTTCACTCATTATTGTTGGGTTTTTCCTCTTAAAAGTAAATTGGACGTTTTCTCCTATTTCTCCAAGTTTTATGCATATGTCAAAAATCAGTTCAATGCTTCTATCCGATGTTTCCAATGTGATCAAGGTGGTGATATGCGAATCACCTGTTCTGGAATTTCTTTAAAATTCATGGCATTTATCTTCACTTAAGTACCACTGCTTGTTCTCAGCAAAATGGTAAGGCTGAACGCCTTAACCGTATTATTGTTAATATGATTCGTACCTTACTTTTTCAAGCATCCATGTCTCCACTTTTTTGGGTTGAAGCTCTCAACACCGTCACCTATCTTCTTAACCACCTTCCTACACCGCTTTTATCACAACAATCTCCTTATGAAGTTCTTTACCATACATGACCATCATATGATCATTTACGAACATTTAGTTGTGCCTATTACCCTAGCCTTTCTCATGCTGCTAAACACAAGTTACAACCTCGTTCTACCTTATGTGTTTTTCTTGGGTATCCAAGCCATCAGAAAGGGTACCGATGCCTTGATCTTGCAACTAATAAAGTCATCACATCTCGTCATGTTGTGTTTGATGAGCATACATTTTCCTTTTCTTCCATTTCTTTTAATGTGTCCTCATCATCCTTATCTACCTCTTCTTTTCGCCCACCCGGTCCCCTAGTTCCCTCTGCTCTGCTCCCAAGGTCTTTCCCTCCTTCCTCTAGTTCTAGTGCTCAACCTATGCCTCCTCCAACTACCATCGATTCACCAGTTACTATCCCTCCCCCCTCTCCCTCTCTGTCACCTCTTATTTCGAGTCCTTCATCTCTTCCGAGTACTTCACCTCCCCATATCCCTCATCCTATGGTTACTCGCACTCAAAATGGTACTCGGAAACCCCAAGGTGATTTTTAATCTAGCTAGTTCTGTTACTAATGCTCCTTCGTAGGTACCAACTACATTCCGTGAAGCAGTTAAGCATGATGAGTGGCAACAAACAATGAATGATGAAATTGCTGCCTTGTCTCAGAATAACACCTGGACTCTTGTTCCCAAACCTCCTAGGGTCAACGTAGTTAGCTCTAAATGGGTTTTTCGCGTCAAAGAAAAGGCAGATGGTTCTTTGGATCGCTACAAAGCAAGGCTTGTAGCTCAGGGGTACTCTCAGCGGCCTGGTGTTGATGATGGTGATACTTGCAGTCCAGTGGTTCATCCGGCTACTATTCGCACAATCTTGTCT